CCCCCCCCCCCGGCTCACCCCAAAGACTGCAGCAATTCAAGAAGGCAACTAACCACCACTTTCTCCTGTGCAATGAAGGATGGGCAATAAACATTCACCAGGACAGCGACACCAACATTCCTTGAACAAGTTAAGAGATGATACTTCAGTGTTAGGAGGTGGAATGGGATCAGGTTTCCTCCATTCCTAATTTGAAAACATACTTTCTGCAAAACAAAGGCAACTAAACCATAAAAGATGTCACGAGAAGGAAAAAAAAAAAATTCGGTTTTAGTTATATTTAAAAGTCTGAACTGCCTGTAATAATTAGCACAATTCACAGACTGAAGACACCTTCATTAAAATCACACTTTGTGCTTAAGCCACATTACGAATGTTTTGGGGGCGGGGAAGAGAGTGGAAAACAGACGTGTGGGGCATCCTCACTCCAGTACTCAAAGGATAGAAGATCAGATCCTTCCACAAGCCTGCCAATGGCACAGGAAACTAATTCCATCTTCATTCACCCTCAACTCAACCTATCCCCTCCCACCCCCCTCCAACCTAATGCCAACCTTCTCCATCCCTTCCCCTCCCATATTTTCTTTCCCAGCCTATCCTAACTTCCTCCAACATTTTCCCTCCCAACTCATCCTTTCAATCCTTCCAACTCAGGCTTTCCCTCTCAGGCTACCTCCAACTCACGCCTCATTCATCTTTCAACTCATCCCCTCACAATCTCTTCCTAATCCTTCCACCCACCACCATATTCTCCATTCTCCTCCTCCAGTCTGATCTTTCACACAGGCCAGTTTGGTCATCTCAGAAGGTAATGACTGTTGAACCTTGTGGATATCCATGATAACTCAAACATCCTGATCCTGGTATGTGAGTGAGCATGTCAGGGTTTATTGACATTTTTATTGAGGCACTGGGCCATATTTGGTCCAAAGATGCGCAGGTTAGGTGGATTGGCCATGCTAAATTGCCTATAGTGTTCAGGGAGATGTAGATTTGGGGGGATGGGTCCGGGTTGGATGTTCTGAGGGTCGGTGTGGCTTGTTTCCACACTGTAGGGATTCTACGATTTCTCTGATTAAAAACAGGAGCTCTGTGAACAAGAATCAGAGGGGCTAAGAGAGCAGGATGTTAAGGTATAAGGAGTATTACTGCCATTCTTACCTGGTTTGGCCTACATGTGACTCCAGACCCACAGCAAGTGGTTGACTCAACTGTCCTCTGGGCAATTAGGGATGGGCAATAAATGCTGTTTAGCCAGCGATGCCCTCATTCTGTGAATGAATAAAGGATTAGACCATTTGGCCCATCGAGTCTGCTCTGACATTTCTCAATCTCATTCTCTTGCCTTCTCCCCATAACCTTTGATCACCTTACTAATCAAGAAGGAAGGTCAATCTGAGCCAGGAATGCACAGTCTCTGCGTCAGAAGCAGCTTGCTGATCCCTAGCCTGTGCAACTTTACAGAGGCAGTGTCGAACGTAGGAAGAGCAGTAGACCATTCAGCCCCTTGTGCCTGTTCCACCATTCAATGAGATCATGGGGGCAGATCTCCCTGGTGACTGATGTCAAATTTAACATTGGAGAGCAATTGTAACAGATGCTGTCTTCGGTGAAAGTTTTAACCAGAGGGAGGCAGCAAAAAAAAGTGAAACCAGAAAGATTATTTAACCAATAAACTGGAATTTAATGACCAAGGGAAGAAAATGGCCTTGGAGCAAAGTGGGGAGGAAAGAAGGGGTTAGAGTTGAAAGGGTGAGGCTAATGAGGAGGAGAGGGGAGGGTGATGTAGAGGGCAGATGTGAAGGAGGGATTGGGAGGGGGAGGATGCAGAGTTGGGGTCAGTACGAACACCTCTATTATGTCAATAGTTCTTGTGATATTCAAATTTAGTTCCAGTAAAAGCTTGTTGTTCATCTTTGAGTCGTACACTGCGTACTTGTGGAATACGGTGGGTTGCGAGGCGTTGTACTGTCTCAGACAGGTAACGGGAGGCTCAGGTTCTTTCCTTTCAAGACTGAGGAGAAGAAAAAGATCAAACATTTCAGCAGGAGCAGCGAATCCAGATCCAAATCCGAAGACCCACGAAACCCCGGCCTTTGCTCCCATCAACTGTGAGAGCGATGGCTGCCCCTACCCGAGAAGAGGTAGTTTCTCAGGGCGCCCAGCAGGGCGGACAGTTTCTCGGAGTCCCGTGGCAAGGATGGTGGCTTCAAGAATCCCTGTTGCAGGTGGATGGGTTTTACGGAACACCCGTGACTGAGCAAAAAGTTTCTGGGAGCCCGGTAGCTGGGTAGGCAGTTTCTAGGAGACCCATGCAAGGGGAGGCAGTTTCTCAGAACCCCGGATCAGGAGAGGCTGTTTCTCGGTCTTACCTTTCGTGACGTAGAGGTAGAAGAAGTCACAATAAAAGATGGTCTGCACAACACCAGCCACAACAGCAATCTGATCAAAGAAGCCTTCCGTGTGGTACCGCCAAATCCAATTGGCCAGGTACAGCGCCCGGTAAAGCCCCAGGAAGAAGAGATAATGAGTGGTGATTGTCTCAGCTTCCCCGGTTTTAGTGATCATAAAGAGCTGGGGCAAAATCGCAACGGATTCCAGATAAATAGAGAAGGTCCAAAGAATCTGGGAAAGACAGAAAGAGAAAGTGTGCAGTCGATAAATTTGGTTTTAAGTACATGATCAGAAACTACAAAGTGGAAGGTGACAGATTCTCCTGGATCTTTTGAAGCTGGAGAGGAAGATGGCAAGGGGACAAGGCGAGGGCCGGGGAGGGTGGAGAGCCAGAGTGGAAAGGGGACATAAAGGGGTTAAGGTGTGTGAGTGTTGGGTGAAGATGGGGACACAGTTGGGTGAAGCAGAGAGGGAGGGCAAAGGATCAGAGTGGGAGGGGTGGAAGCAGAGAAAGTTTGAAGGGAGTTCTGGAACAGCAAGGGATAGTAAAGGAGTTGAAGCAACCTAATGGTGGGTAGTAGAGGGAGGATCAACGTGAAGTGGGTCAAATGAAGGTGACAAGAACAGAAATTGCTGGAGAAACACAGCAGATCTGCCAGCATCTCTGCGGAGAGAAACAGAATTAATGTTTTGAGTCCAGCGACCGTTCTTCAGAACAGGAGTTGAAATGTTATTTCTGTTTTTTCTCCACAGAAGCTGCCAGACCTGCTGAGTTTCTCCAGCAATTTCTGCTTTTGTTTCAGGTTTCCAGAATCTGCAGTTCTTTTTTTTATTCAAATAAAGGTGAATTTGGAGGCTGTGGGGATAGTTAGGCCTGGAGAGATCTAAATGAGGATTTTAAATCTGATGCACTGGGGCAGAGTTGTGGCAGATGGACTGACACAGCAAGAATAAAGATGAATCCGAAAATGACTGCAGCATCACAGGGGACCTCAAACTCAGAGAAAAGTGAAGCATTGGGAGATTGGGCAGTCAATAGCAAGAAAGTGGGGCTGTCAGAGTAGGAGGGAGTTAGTCACATAATGAAACAGCCAGAACCTTGTAAGACGACAAGGAGCTATTACTAGGAGGATGGACAAGACCAAGATGGGATGAGGCTGGAGATATCGATGAGGGGTTCTAAAGATGAGGCTGAGATGAGCTCGGGGTAGGGCTGGGAACAGTTAACGTACAGACCTGGAACTGAGTGTTGAAAAATGGGCAATGGAGTCAGCAAGGCAAACACTGCACCCCCACTCCAACTCCCCCCACCTCACCACCACCACTAAGCTCCAAGTTCACATCTCAAAAAATAACATGATTCAGGCCCAGGTGGGAGCACGATCAAACGCCCATGTAACTCCAGCTTTGTTTTTATGGCTGCAGGTTCTAATAATAAGCCCAGGACTGAGCTCCTAGTGAACCATGAGTGAGCCTGGGGTAAGGCCGGACACAGCCCTATTCCCTGCTCCCCAAGACCAACCTCGATCCTAATGTCAATGCCAATGTATTGAAGACTAATGCCCAGTTACCAGATGATGATGCAAACCACTGGCTTCAGTTCTCAGAATCGATATCAGGTTCTGGATATAGGTAACGCAGACTAAAGGAATCATTACAAACCAGTCTCACCTCTAATGGAGCGTAGTCATGGTTGACAAGGAAGGAGAGACCAGCGACAGGGACCAAGATAAACTCCACACGGAATGTGTCATTCTCCCGATCAAAGGTGGAGCTGTATTTGATGTAGATCAGGTAAACGGTCACATAGATACAGAGCAGAAATATGATCTGGAAAAGAATTCAAAGCAAATAAACACAAGGGGAACTAAGAGTGGTGCCTGCCAGTGAGCTGTGGCTGGCTTTAGTCAAGTAATAAATTCCTGATCGACAGTGTTGCATTTTTGACCAATGTCTTGGTGTCTTTTCTGTCTTGCCTTCTCCAGAAAAGCGGAGCTTCTCGCAATTGTTCTATCGTGGTGATTACTCACACTGTTGTCAGCAGAACCAGCCCCAACTTCAGGGGCATCACAATCTTCAAGCTGTCTCTCAACAAACACACAACTCATCAGCTGTTGAATTTATTATTTCATCAGCTTCCCTGAGAACTGACTCCACAATAAAAGCCACAATCTTTCAAAACTCGTTTGATGCAGGGATCAGGACTCATTCCAACAACGGGGAGTTGGGGTTGGCAGCATAAACCCAGGAATGACGGGTTAGCAGCATAACGCTGGTGCTGGGAAAGATATGAGACCACAATGGGGATCAGTGGAAAATTTTGGAGTGATAAATGAAAACCCACGTGGATTTATTAAACATGAATTATGTCTGACAAGTGAGCTCTTCAATTAAATGATGAGTAAGTTACGTTTATATGGCATCTTTAACAGGGTCAAATAACATCTGAAGTTGAGCTGCAGATGAAGGCAGCACATTGAGGTCCAATGAAAGGATCAATGTTATATCGGGGAGGGGAGGTGGTCCCTATTCCCAACCTGTGGTGAGGGGGCAGCCCGGGCAATCACAGGGTGATCCCTACTCCCACTAACTGCGGCAGTGCGTTTACAAACTGCGCCATGTTATGCCTGAGTCATACTGAATGGTAATGCGTTTTGTTTAAAGTACATATAATAATTTATATGGTTTTCAGACAAAGGTTGAAAGAAAGCAGGACCAGGTTTCTGTACCAACCAAAAATGATTGTTTTATTATGAGTAAAGGTGAGTGTAGGTGGGGAGTTAGGGAGGGGATAGGTCAGTCCAGGGAGAACGGACAGGTCAAGGGGACGGGATGAGGCTAGGTAGGAGGTAGGGGTGGGGCTTGAGGTGGGAGGAGGGGATAGGTGGGAAGAAGGACAGGTTAAGGAGGCGGGGACAAGCTGGGCTGGTTTTGGGATGCAGTAGGGGGAGGGGAGAGTTTGAAGCTTGTGAAGTCCACATTGATACAGATAAGGGTGGGGAGGGAAAAATGTGGTGAGGTCGGATTGCAGATGGTGGAAGTGTCGGAGGACACTTCCTCCGACACTTCCGCCATCTGCAATCCGACATCCAACGCATCATCCTCTGACATTTCCGCCATCTGCAATCCGACCCCACCAAAGACATTTTTCCCTCCCCACCCTTATCTGTTTTCCGGAGGGACCACTCTCTCCGTGACTCCCTTGTCTGCTCCACACTCCCCTCCAGCCCCATCACACCCGGCACTTTTCCCTGCAACCGCAGGAAGTGCTACACCTGCCCCTACAGCTCCCCCCTCACCTCCATACCAGGCCCCAAGACTTTCCATATCAAGCAGATGTTCACCTGCACATCTGTTAATGTGGTATACTGTATCCGCTGTTCCCGTTGTGGCCTCCTCTACATCGGGGAAACCAAGCGGAGGCTTGGGGACCGCTTTGCGGAACACCTACACTCGTTTCGCACCAAACAACTGCACCTCCCAGTCGAGAACCATTTCAACTCCCCCTCCCATTCCTCAGATGACATGTCCATCCTGGGCCTCCTGCAGTGCCACAATGATGCCACCCGAAGGTTGCAGGAACAGCACCTCATATTTCGCTTGGGAACCCTGCAGCCCGATGGTATCAATGTGGACTTCACAAGCTTCAAAATCCCCCTCCCCCTACCGCATCCCAAAATCAGCCCAGCTTGTCCCCGCCTCCTTAACCTGTCCTTCCTCCCACCTATCCCCTCCTCCCACCCCAAGCCCCACCCCCATCTCCTACCTAACCTCATCCCTTGATCTGTCCGTCCTCCCTGGACTGACCTATCCCTTCCCTAACTCCCCACCTACACTCACCTTTACTGGCTCCATCCCGCATCTTTGACCTGTCTGTCTCCTCTCCACCTATTTTCTCCTCTATCCATCTTCTATCCGCCTTCCCCTCTCTCCCTATTTATTTCAGAACCCCCTTCCCCTCCCCCATTTCTGAAGAAGAGTCTAGGCCCGAAACGTTAGCTTTCCTGCTCGGCCTGCTGTGTTCATCCAGCTCTACACCTTGTTATCTCAGATTCTCCAGCATCTGCAGTTCCTACTATCTCTTTAATAAATCCATGCTGGTTTTCATTTATTTCTGCGATGTTTTCCAATACCAACCCCCACCCCCATTATTCATATCTTTCATATTTTCATGTTTCATGTTGGCCAGATTCCTTGTTTTTCAGATGTCTTTCTCGAGAAGTTTCCACTGGTTTGTTAAATGTACAGAACAATTGATTGGTCGGATAAATTCAAAAATCCAAACATGGAAAGTAGGGGGCGAGTTTTAACAGCGCAGTAAAAGGGAAGAGAGATAACACCCAAAGATACAGAACTGTTCACCATATTGGATAATGGAAATCAGGAGGAGGAGAACTTTAGTGGGAATGAGATTGAAGGAACCAGGCAGTGGATCACATGGAAAAGTCAAACCCAATGAGAGAATAGTGGGAAAAAGGAGAGAACTTAATGAAAACATGAATTCAGGGCTAGGGCTAGAGCTAGAGACTAGAGACAGTGGGTTGGGAGAACAGAGGACAGTGGCAAAAGCAGATGAACAAGCCTGTTTCAATTTTGTGACAAATAAAGCCATGGGTTTTCAATGCCTGCTGGAGGAGAGGAGGTAGCAAAAGGACTGAAGCCAGTTTATAGTGAAGAATAAAGAAGAAGGAATTATCTTGGAATTCCAGTGAAGGCCCAGAATCCAAACCACAGAGAAGACAAGCAATGGGCCATGACTGGAATCAAAACATGATGTGGAGACAGCTGGCAGCCAATCAGAGGCCAGAACTAGATGTATTACTCCAAGTGAAGCCTGTGGTGTTTTAGAAATGTTTGGCTTAAGTCATAGAGTCATACAGTCATAGAGATCTACAGCACTGAAAAAGGCCTTTCAGTCTATCAAGCCAGTCACAGTCAAAAATAACCACCAACTTTTTAAATTCTATTTTCCAGCACTTGGCCCATAGCCTTAAATGCCTTAGCACTGCAGCTGCACATCTAAATAAATTTGAAATGTTATGAGCGTTTCCGTCTCTATCATCCTTACAGGTAGTGGAAACCGAGATTCCCACCACTCAGTGAAAAAAATTCCTCACATCCCCTCTAAACCTTCTGCCCCCTTAAGTCTATACCCCTGGTCATTGATGCCCCCCACAGGGGGAAGGTTTCTTCCTGTCCACCCTATCTATGCCCCTCATAATTTTATACATTTCAATCATGTCCCCTCTCGATCTCCTCTTTTCTAAGGAAAATAACCCCATGAACAGAATTGAGGTGGGAGGAAGAACAGGTTAGGGAAGCGGGGACAAGCTGGACTGGTTTTGGGATGCGGTAGGGGGAGGGGAGATTTTGAAGCTTGTGAAATCCACATTGATACCATTGGGCTGCAGGGTTCCCAAGCAGAATAGGAGTTGCTGTTCCTGGTCCCCCATCTCCTACCGACTAACCTCATCCCGCCCCCTTGACCTGTCCGTCCTCCCTGGACTGACCTATCCCCTCCCTAACTCCCCACCTACACTCACCTTTACTGGCCCCATCCCCGCCTCTTCAACCTGTTTGTTTCCTCTCCACCTATCCTCTCCTCTATCCGCCTCCCACTCTCTCCCTATTTATTTCAGAACCCCCTTCCCCTCCCCCTTTTCTGATGAAGGGTCTAGGCCCGAAACGTCAGCCTTTCTGCTCCTATGATGCTGCTTGGCCTGCTGTGTTCATCTAGCCCTGCACCTTGTTGTCTCGGATTCTCCAGCATCTGCAGTTCCTACTATCCATGAACAGAATTGACCAGTTTATCCTTCAGTGAGAATCCTATTTCTGCTGGTCCAACTTCTTACCTTCATGGTGGTGTTGTAGACTGAGATAAACGTGGTGAATAAATCCAGGTAACGTGTCGTAAACACGAGAGCAAAGAGAAGCTGACTCTTCCCAGAAATACCTACCAAAGTAAATTACATGGTTAACAATGAGTGTGTAAAAGAAAATCCAGCACCAGAGAGCCCCAAGCTCTCCTTCTATCCTCCTCTCTTGCTACCCGGCTAATCTCACTCCTTAGGTTCCTCTCATTTAGTCCCTGCCATTCCAGAGAGATTAGCCTCCATCTCCCCTGCTTCCTTTCTTTCTCTCTACTTCCCCATCCCTTCTCTTCTCTTCTGCAATATAGTAATATAAAACATTAGGCGTGACTGTGTAACAAAGTAAATGAGTGTATTTGTCACCACAGGAAGTGATACAATATCACATGATCTTGCTCTCTCATGCAGCCTTATGGCAAGATGAAGCCACAGCAAGGCAGTTCTTGAATAAAGTTAATGTTTTCCTTGGCCAACTCTGTAAATGTTCTTCAGCATCAGCACAACAGCAAAAATGTTAAATGATGGCAACAAGTAAAAGAACAAGATTGATAATGGCAGACCTTTATCCAAAAGCCTTAGCAGGTCACAGGGTCCAATGAAGCAGATGCAAGGCTGAATTGGTGAATATTTGCCAGGCATCTCACTGCAAAACCAAATGGGTCAGTACACTATTGCACGCATCAGGGGGCTGTGCCGACAACACTCCATTCATGCATGAGATTGAATAAGAAAAAGTTACATACAAGAAAATAATAAAAACAATATCTGTAGAAAAAAATCCATTACTGAACAGGCTGAATTTAACAAACAGACCTTGAGACAAAGGGAAAATGTTGAAACTTTGATCAATGATTTGTGCAGACAAGCAGAGAACCATGAATGTAGTAGCTTAAAAGATAAACTAATCAGGAACAGAATTTTCGTTGGAAAGGAATCAAAATTATTCAGTGATTTGGGATGATAGAAAAGACCATATCCCAAAAATGATTGACTTGGTGGAAAGATATTAATTTCAAAGCAGTGAGGTGGCTGTAAAGAAGCAGAGGAGGTAGGAAGAGGGGCATCCATTAGACCCCTCAATTTACCTTTATTGGTATTTTTATGATAAAACATGATCCTTAGCTACTACACAACAGTTGTGAGAAGTTTGCAGGTTATGTTTTTGGTCTCCATTTGAAGGTAGAGAGAGTCCACAAATCCTTAGCGAAGCTTTTCAATTTTAAAAATACTTAAATGATTCACACTCAGGATAATGAAGTTTGATGCAATAACAGAGTATATTTTGGGAGAGCAGAGCCTACAGCAGATACTTTGTCCCATGTCCCTGTAGCAAGGCCTAAACAAGGAGATGGAGGTTTTGTTCAAGAGGTGGAACCAACCAGAGACTGAATGGAATCATAGGTGCACAGAAATCTGACAAAGAATGTGTTCAGCTGGGAGAGAAAAGTGTCCAAAGATGACCAGCACAATCCCAATGTGACACAAATCCCATTCTCAGAAAATACACGAACAGAGGAGACACTTCACCGTCCTCCTCATTGACTTAGTGATTACAGATTGGTAATTCTGGGAGTTGAGCTTGAAGTGCTCAATGATGGTATCAGACACCTGGAATGTTGGAGACAGTAGGAGGTTTCCTACAGGAGTGCAACTATCAGCGAGTGGAGTATGGCAGTTTGATTGGGAGTTTGAGTTAATCTTTTGCCTGAGAATCTAGTACTAATTGCTGCTAATATTTTGATAACATCAACTGTTTAGAAGGCTGTAAATTAAATTTAAGTTTAAAGTTAAGTATCTTTTAACACAATCTCTCCTATGGGTGGGGGTGCTATAGCTTGGATAGTTAACTGGAGCTAACAATTAATATATGGTTTAGACCATTTCCTGGAAGAGCTGAGGAAGAGAGAAACAAAAAAGCAAGCACCAGCACTGTGTGCAGTGTGAGATAACAAGGTGGAGAGCTGGATGAACACAGCAGGCCAAGCAGCGTCAGAGGAGCAGGAAAGCTGATGTTTCGGGCCTAGACCCTTCTTCAGAAATGGGGGAGGGGAAGGGGGTTCTGAAATAAATAGGGAGCGAGGGGGAGGTGGATAGAAGATGGATAGAGAAGAAGATAGGTGGAAGAGGAGACAGACAGGTCAAAGAGGCAGGGATGGACCCAGTAAAGGTGAGTGTAGGTGGGGAGGTAGGGAGGAGATAGGTCAGTCCAGGGAGGACGGACAGGTCAAGGGGGCGTGATGAGGTTAGTAAGCAGGAGATGGGGGTGGGGCTTGAGGTGGGAGGAGGGGATAGGTGGGAGGAAGGACAGGTTAGGGAGGCGGGGACGAGCTGGGCTTGGGGACCGCTTTGCAGAACACCTATGCTCGGTTCACACTAAACAACTGCACCTCCCAGTGGCGAATCATTTCAACTCCCCCTCCCATTCCTCAGACGACATGTCCATCCTGGGCCTCCTGCAGTGCCACAACAATGCTACCCGAAGGTTGCAGGAACAGCAACTCATATTCCGCTTGGGAACCCTGCAGCCCAATGGTATCAATGTGGACTTCACAAGCTTCAAAATCTCCCCTCCCCCTACCGCATCCCAAAACCAGCCCAATTCGTCCCCGCCTCCCTAACCTGTTCTTCCTCCCACCTATCCCCTCCTCCCACCTCAAGCCCCACCCCCATCTCCTACTTACTAACCTCATCCCGCCCCCTTGACCTGTCCGTCCTACCTGGACTGACCTATCTCCTCCCTACGTCCCCACCTACACTCACCTTTACTGGCTCCATCCCCGCATCTTTGACCTGTCTGTCTCCTCTCCATCTACCTTCTCCTCTATCCATCTTCTATCCACCTCCCCCTCTCTCCCTATTTATTTCAGAATCCCCTTCCCCTCCCCCATTTCTGAAAAAGGGTCTAGGCCCGAAACGTCAGCTTTCCTGCTCCTCTGATGCTGCTTGGCCTGCTGTGTTCATCCAGCTCTACACCTTGTTATCTCAGATTCTCCAGCATCTGCAGTTCCTACTATCACTGTGTGGAGTGTGGCAGTTTGGTGAAGTGGAGGGGGTCAGGGAGATCCCAAACCCGCCAACCCCACTCCCCTGCTGTATTGTTTTCCTAACTGTTTTCATAGTTCAGTGTGGCAGCAGCAGACCAAGTCCCAAGAACTGGGAGATTATTAAGGAATTAACTGAGAAGCATCAGCTATGAGTGAAAGTCAGAAAATAACAGAAGGAGACTACTAAGACAAAGGGAGTATCTTTATGATTAAGTAATTAGAAAAGTTAACAAGCAAGACTAAATAAATTCAATTTTGTCACAGCAGGTGAGGTCAGCTTCGTGGAATGAGTGATGTGGGGATGTCATGGACCTTACTGGCAGTTTGACCACACATGCAGAAAGTGCTTTCAACTGCAGAAAAGTGAGCTGTGTGTTTCAGAGCTCTAGCGGTGGCTGGAGACACTGTGGCACATCCATGAGGCTGAGAGATACATGGATTTCATGTTTAAAGTTGCAGAAGACCAAAGGGCTGCTCTCTTATGACGGAGAAATCACTGGTTGTAGTTTAACCAGAAGGTCACCATGCTTCAGGAGCTGAGGACAGTCCTTATGGTAACCCCAGCACGTTTACAGAAGTGGTAACACTGCAGGAAAAGGTAGTGGAGAGAAGATGGGAATGGGCGACCACCAGGCAGTGAAAGAAAATCAGGCAGGTAGTGCAGAAGACTGTTGGGGTCCTTCTCACAAATTGTCATTCTGCTCTGGAAGTTAATGAGGGCACTGGTTCCTCATGAGAGCGCAGACAGAGCCAAGCTTCTGGCATATGTGGCCTGACTGTATAGAAGGGGAGGAACAAGAAAGCAAGAGCAATTGTGATAGGGGATTGACTAATTATGCTGGTGAGTACTGAAATAAGATAATGGGGAAATGAATGCATGGTTGAACAGGAGGGAGGGGTTTGGACTCCTGGATCACTGGGACCATTTTTTGGGGAAGATGGAACCTGTCCATGCAGGACAGTCTGCACCTGAACCAGAATGGGACTAACATCCTTGCTGGCAGTTTACTAGTGCTGTTGGGAGGACTGCAAACTTGTTAATAGAATTATTGAGTCCCTAAAGTGTGGAAGTAGGCCATTTGGCCCATCATTCCACACCGACCCTCTGAAGATTATCCCACCCAGACCCACCCTCCTATCCTATCCCTGTAATCCTGCATTTCCCATGGCTAATCCATCCAGTGTGCACATCCCTAGACACTATGAGCAATTTAGCATGGAAAATCCACCTAGCTTTATCATCTTTGGACTGTGGGAGGAAACCCACGCAGACACGGGGAGAACGTGGAAACTCCACACAGACAATTGGCCAAGGCTGGAATTGAACCCAGGTCCATGACGCTGTGAGGCAGCAGTACTAACCACTGAGTTCGGCAAGGAAAGTGGACAAAGGACCCAGTGTTAGTACAATAGCGGCACAGCATACCTTAGAAAAGGAACCAAAGCAGATTTCAGCCATGTTGTAAGGCAAGGCTGGACGCCCTCTATTTTAAAACTCGGAGTATTATCAACAAGACAGGCGAGTTAAAGGTATGGATTCACACGTGAAACTACAATGATGCCACCATAGAGACTTTGCTGAGGGGAGGACACGACTGGCAACTTTATATTCCAGGATATAGGATCTTCAGGCCTTCAGGCAGGAAAGGGGAGAGTGTAAAAGAGGTTAAGGAATCAGTTACTGCAGTTAGGAGGGACAGTATCCTGAAGGGTATTCAAATGAGGCTTTGTGGGTACAGCTTAGCAATAAAAAGGAGGCAGACACATTCAAGGGGTGTGTTATAGACCCCCCCAAAACAGCCAGTGGGCAACAGTGGAACAGAAATGTAGACAATTCACTGTGTGTGTAAGAGCAATTATAATTATATTAGGGGATTTCAACTTCCCCAACATTAATTGGGGAGTAGAGGGTTTAGAGGGGACAGATTTCTTGAAATGAAAGCTTTTATACCAACATGTAGATTGTTCTACAAAGGACAGTGTAGTGCCTGACCTAATATTGGAACATGTAGCTAGACAGGTGATAGAGATGCCAGTTGGAAAGTACTTTGGTGATGGTGACTGCAGTACTATATGTTTTACAGAAAAGGAAAAAGATGGTCTGCAAAAAGAGTTTCAGATTGGGGGAAGACAGATTTTATTAGAATAAGGCAGAATCTGGTCAAAGTAGATTGGGAACAGTTACTTCTGGGTAAATCTATAGCAGAACTGTGTTGCACGTTCAAAATGGAAAGTACAGGCCCAACGTGTTTGCTTTTTTAGGATGAAATGTAAAACCAACAAGCTCAGAGAACCCTGGATGTCTATGAATATTCTGAACTGGATAAAAAGGAAAAGCATATAACTGGTACAAAGACAAAATCAATGGAGGCTCTAGTGGACTATAAAATGTGCACAGAGGAACGTAAGAAAGCAATTAGGAGAGCAAAGAGGGGATATGATAAAACACTGGTGAGTAAAATTAGACAGAATCTCAAGACAATGTTCGATATATCCAATGGGAAAGAAATCTGGAAAATGCTGCCTGGGAAGGTAGTCGAGGCTTTAATGGTACTTGGATGTGTACGTGGAAGTGTCATGACATTCAAGAGTATTGGCCAAGTGCTGGAAGTTGGACTAGTGTAGATTTAGTCCTTTCTTTGTTGGTGCAAACTCTTCTAGACTGTACAATTGCATGATTCCATGCATAACCAGGTCTTGGAAGCATTGCAAAAGACAATATCCTGCTGGATTACTGGGTGCCCTTCATCATTCAGAGACAGGACAACTGAAAGAATTGACAGATTTCCTTTCCTAAAGGCATCAATGAACCAAATGGATTTCTACAACATTCAACTTTATATTCCAGATTTATTCATTTAAATTCAAATTCAAATTTCACCAGCTGCAATAGTGGAATTTGAATACATATCCCCTGCTAACAACCTGAAGTGCCTGGATCAAGTGACATAACTACTAATCCTATCTGTCTCTCTTTCTCGTCTATACCATCTTTCTCCTTTACTGTTCTTTCTCACTTTTCTGTCTCCCCCAGTCTTTCATTCTCTTGTCTCCACATTATGCCTTTACTCTTCTATACGCCCTTGTTTCTTACCCCATCTCTCTGTCGTATTCTTCCCTTTCTCTCAGTCCTCACTCTCTCTCACCCCACCGCCCCGTCACCTTCCCTTTCTGCTATCCCCTCTTTCTCCTCCCCCTCTTTTGGCTCCTACCCACGTACCCCCTATCTCTTATCATCCTCTTTTTCTCACCTACCCCTGCATGGCCCTCACTTTCTCTCCTACACCTCTCTATCACCCCTCTCTTTTCTACTCCCCCAGTATCCCCATCTGTTTCTCTTCTCTCGCCCCCACCCCGCATCCCCCTCTCTTTCTCTCTTAGTTTCCCCACCCTGCGGTGTTTCTCTCACTCACCAGCGCAGGATTTAGATTTCCACATTTTCGCCAGAAGGATGAGAATGGCCAGTAAGTGGGACAGATCCCCGGACAGTCTGAACACATTCATCTTTCGCCGATTCCCAACTTTGCAAACTGCCCAAGTCAGCACCAACTTTCCAGGCGGCACTTCAGCTCAGGCTCGGTGACGTGGCTGCAGTTTGCAGCCTGTCCGTTAAAGGGAGCTGTTGTCAGCCGACACAAAACCCATTAAAGGCATCAGCTCAACAAACAGGACTGTATTAAAAAGTGCGGTAAAAAAAAGTATATCAAAATGGAAAGAGAGAGAGAGACAGGTGAAGGAGATCCCTAAACATGGCCAGGTGCTGCAACATTCCATCATCTCAAAGTGCCTTAAATTCCTTTCAATATTCACGGGCTAAAAAAATCAAGACGTTACTTAATTCTATTATATACAGAGACTGCCGTACTCCATAATAAACATGGAAACTGCTATTTACAGTAATACACTGGAGTGATTGGAACCAGGTTGACCTTGTTGACTATGAAGTCCTTGGTTGGGGTTGTTCACCCAGGCCAATCAGGAAAGCCCTGGCTGACCAATATAAACAGGAGATAAAAATATGACGAGCGGATCAGAATCTCCTCCTGAGGACTTTTGAAGAAAAAAATAACCAGGAGATTAGATTCTCCAAAAAAATTTTACAAACAGGAGATCACCGACACTCTCGATCACTTTAGGGAGAGATCAGTGTGGAGAGCTTTATTTCCCCTTCCAATTCTATTTTGATTTAGTCCTTACCCTCCCCCTCACTTTCTCTTTCACATAAGCATTGCCCCTACTGGGGCTTTGCATGTTACTGATTCCTTCACCATGAGTGCTTTCTTGGTGGTGGAATATTAATAAAGTTATTTACATAACTGGTGTCTCTCAGTGTGTCCTGCACATAAACACACCAAAATGGATGCTGGGGAAAATAAGTACATAACCAGGAGATTAGAATCTCCTCAGAAAAAAAATATAAACAGGAGATTTAGAATCTCCTCAGTTCAGAGGACTGACTCCGAGCTGGCTGACCACAGCTAGTGTACTAATGCACAGCTGGTGGGTGGGCAGTGACTTGGTGACAGAACCCAGCCTCTGTGCCATTGTTTCACCCTGTAGGCCTCAAACTGTACCATCGTGTGTGGGCTGATAGCGCTGTGAGTAGGCGAAAAACGTCGCATGTAGGCCGAAAGCGCCGTGTGTAGGCCGAAGATGCTTCATGTGTGTGGGCCGAAGATGTTCCGTGTGTGCAGACTGAAGATCCTCTGCGTGCACAGGCCAAAAATGCTACATGTGAAGGAAAAGAAGACAAATGTAAAAAGGAGATTTAGAATCTCCTCAGATCAAAGGACTGACTCCGAGCTGGCTGGCCACAGCCAGTGTACTGTGATCAAGTCTGAATTAGTGACAGGATACTGGCCTGTATGCGGCCTCAGTGGTGACAGGGTAAACCAATCTGTGCCTGAAGAACATTTGCTAGCAACAGTCATCTTATGTTGGGGTCAGCATTTCTGGCATCATGTCTTTATTTGGGAAGCTTGACAGGTTTGATCCTGCTGTTGAAGACTGTGCCTGGTATGTGGAAAGAATTCAATATTTTTCTGGGCAAATAACATTGGTGCAGATGAAAAGCAAAGTCTCATCTTTCTGACTGCTTGTGGACCTGCAGCATTTTCAGTTGTGAGGGGCTTAACTTTCCCAGAGGCACCAGACATTAAAACCTTCCAAGAGTTTACGGAGTTGGTTAAGGAATATTATGACCCCAAACCTCCTCTAATCCTGAGATGCTAATGGTTTTATTCGGCTGTTAGAGAACTGGGGGCATCCATATCAGGACTTTTGATGGGGTTAAGACGACTGGCAGAGGCATGTAGTTTTGGGTTAACCCTGAATGAGATGCTAAGAGACCATTTGGTATCTGGGATTAATGATGTAACTATGCAGAAGCACCTATTGGCTGAAGCCCAACTGGATTTCAATCAGGCACTGCAGCTGGCCTTGTCATTAGAAAATGCAGCAAGTGGAGCATGAGAACTACAGGGCATCCCAATGGGAATGGACACCCTCACCTGTCCAACTGAGCTTAGGGAACACCACTTGAGTGTAGGCAATCGCAGAGCTTCATGGAGGGCATATCCTGAGCAGAGGGAACCTAGGCCAGCCCACAGCAGAACCCCACAACAAAGGCAAGCCTCGGCCAAATGGCTAAAATGTTCTTCAAGATCTGGCTCAGCAAGCCATTGTAGTTGCTGCTGGTATGCAAACTCAAGATAGCAAAGGGGTCCTACAAAGTCTGACGTGAGGAAGAAAACTCGTAGGCTGGTACCCAGAACAGTGCACATCCTGGAAACTCCCCCTACATGTGGGGTTGGAACAATTAAATTGCTTAGCAATGTCCAAATCACAAATGATTAAAATTAATAAAAACTGTTCTGAGGAAGGGTCACTGGATCCGAAACATTAACTCTGATTTTATCTTCACAGATGCTGCCAGACCTGCTGAGCTTTTTCAGAAACTTCTGTTTCTGTTCCCAATTAAAATCAATATTTGGTTAAATGGTCACCCAGAGGTTGATACTGGCGCAGCTATATCTGTGGTTGCAGAGGCTGTCTTTAACAAGATTTGCTCAGGTCTCCAACCCTTAAGTTTGTGCAAAACCTTAGCCAGACTGAGAACATACACTGGGGAACCATTGTAGATTAGGTGTACGACTTCGGTTCCAGTCTTCCATGAGAAGCAGTTACCAGGGATGGTAGTAAAAGGCTTGGGCCCAAGCCTATTGGGGCGGAAATGATTGAGTCCTAGTGAAATACCCAGGAGTATTTCAGGAAGGGCTTGGGATTATCAAAGGGGCCAAAGCCATTTTCATATTGAGCAGGAAGCAATTCTGAGAATGGCCTGCCCAGTGCCATTTGCCTTCTGGGCAAAAGTAGTGGTGGAAATCAGGAGGCTGGAGAGCGAAGGGATCAACAAACCAGTGCAGTGTGCAGAAAGGGCAGCACAGCCATACTGATTATGAAGCCTGACGGCTTGGTTTGCCTTTGTGGGGATTCTAAGCAAACGGTAAACCACTTCTCACAGCCGGATAAATACCCAATCCCTTGCATAGAGGACTTGAACGCAAAGTTGGTGGGGGTCTGTCCTTTACTAAGCTGGACATGAGCCACACCTACCTGCAACTGCGACTGGATGAGGAATCCCAGCAGTAGCTACAATTAATACCCATAAGGATTTATACCAATTTGCAAGACTGCCATTTGTGGTATTATCAGCCTGTGCTCTTTTCCAGTGGACAATAGAGAACATTTTACAAGGGCTACCCCAGGTTGCCATTAATCTGGATGATGTACTAATAACAGGGAGGACAACTAAAGAGCATTTGGAGCACTTGGACATAGTGCTTAAACATTTCTTCCAGGCGGGTGTACATCTTAGAAGGAAAAATGTGTGTTCCAGACGCCCCAAGTGATCAACTTGGTTTACGGAGTTGACTGAACCAGTTTACACCTGATGGAGGATAAAGTGAGGGTGATTAAAGGAGCCCCAGCTTCCATGTCTGTACCAGAGGTGAGGTCTTTCCTTGGGCTAGTGAATTATTATGGAAAATTCATACATAACCTGGTCTCCATTCTGACACCCTTATACCTGCTACTGGAAAAGGGTCAGCCTTGGAAATGGTTGCATAGCCAAGAAGTAGGGAAGTGAAAAAGCAGCTATTGTCATCCAATGTGTTGGCCCACTACGATCCAAAGCAAGATGTCATGCTGACATGCAATGTCTCCCCGTACGGCATCAGGGTAATGTTGGCTCACCAGTGGCCCAACAGAGAGGAATGTATGATAGCATATGCTTCCCAGAGTTTGGATGATACTGAATACAAGTATGCCCAGATAGAGAAGGAAGGTTTGGCAGTCATCTTTGGTGTGAGGAAGTTCCACCAGTACCTTTGCAGACAGGAATTTGTCATAGTAACAGATCACAAACCCCAGCTAGAGCTGCTGAAGGAAGACAGGGCAGTGCCACCCATAGCTTCTAGGAGAATTCAGCATTGGGCCCTTATTTTTACTGTGTACAAGTTGGAAAACCATCCAGGAAGCCAACTGGATGCCTTGAGCCACCTCCCACTGGCAGATTCTCCACTGGTTGTACCTCCCCTGGAAAAGTCCGTTTTATTTTAAACTTCCTGGACACCGTTCCAGTCACCACGGACAATATCCAACCGTGGACACAAAAGATCCTGTCCTAGTGAAACTGAAATAGCTGGTGGTAATGGGGGAAACAGAAGTGCCATCGCAATCCAGGTTGAAACCTTTTTGGACCCGGTGAGACCTGATCACTATATATGAATTATTCTGGGGAGCAAGAGTGATTGAAATCAGATGGACCTCGGTTACTATGAGGTCCTAGATTGGAGTTGTTAACCTGGGCCAATCAGGAAAGCCTTTGCTGATCAATATAGCCAATAGAATCTCCTCAGTTCAGGGGACTGATTCCGAGCTGGCTGATACAGCCAGTGTATTCCTGTTGAGGGAGGAGTTGGTCTGCTCCTGGATTGTGTTTCCATTTGGAGCTGAGTAAGCCCCCTGTTTCTCCTATTGTTGCTGCTTGGGCCTACCTTGGTGTCCCACTACTGCCTGGGCCCCTGGTTTTGCTGCTGCTGCCTAAAAAAAAGAGAAAAAGGAAAACAAAGAAAAAAAAATAGAATGTCCTCAGTTTAGGGGACTGACTCCGAGCTGGCTGGCCACAGCCAGCATACCGTGCGCAAGTAAATAAAGGGTGAATTGACAGGATACTGGTTTCTGTGCAGTTATTCCAGATACACTGGGACAGCTATTCTCCATAATATACTCAGGAACTTGCATTCTCTACAATATACACAGGAAGTTCTATTCTGTATAAAGATTGCTATTCTCGATAATGTACCCAGGAATTGCTATTCTCCATAATACACACAGAAAATTCAATATAATATATAGAGGGACTGCTATTCAAAGAACAAAGAACAATACAGCACAGGAACAAGCCCTTTGGCCTTCTAAGCCTGCATCGACACATTTTGCCCTTCCATACTAAAACTGTCCTCACTTACAGGATCCCTATCTCTCTATTCCCTTCCTATTCACGTATTCCTCTAGGTGCTTCTTCAATGCTACTATTGT